AAAGATAAAATAATATATATAAAAATATATAAAAATAATATAATATTATAGAATTTAATTATTCTATAACAGTATGTTGCATGTCTAAAACTTATATAAAGAATGTTTTCATATTTTATTGATTTTTATTATTTTATTATACAGGTATATCAATATGACAATAGCAAGAAGAAATTTTCAATATGCATTATATATTTTCAATGAATTAAAGTTAATGAACTTGGAGGATTTTTTTTTAAGTAAGATTTATTTTATACTTTACTAATCCAATTTTTCATTTTTATACTTATTTTTTTCTTATTTACTTGTAGAATCAAAAAGGATGATAATCTTATTATTTTGGATACTTATAAAAAATATATCCTTTTTTTTAAATATAAAGATATAGAAAAAGTAGAAAAAAAATGATATCATTACATTTGAGGAACTTTTTGTAAGGTAATATTTTTTAAATATTTGAAAACTTTAATCATCACTAAAAAAATAAGGTTTCTTAGATATTCAGAACATACTCTTAGAGTTTTGTTATATTTAATAGGAATGGTTATATTAGGAAATTATCATTATATATAGAGAACTTGCCATTTAAAATATTTTTAACAAATATATATAATTTATAATCTGATCTCTCAAACTATTTTTTTTATGATTCAGAATTACTTGATGCATTGGAAGAGGACATGAAATATTATAAGAGAGAAAATCAATTATATAAAGTTTTCTTTATTTGGAAAAAAATTATGCAAGGGATAAAATTATTAGATATATCTTTATTTTAACTTTATCAACTATAACAATATATATATTAATTTTCTTGTCAAATTATTTTTTATTTTTTTAAGTATTAAGTAAGGCATTTCTTATAATCTTTATTAATTGAGTAAGAAATTTTCATTACATAATTAATGTTTAGATTTTGAGATACATTGCTATATATATCAATCTACTACCATATAAATATATTTTGTAAAAAAACCTTTTATGAAAAGAAAAACAAAAGGAATTATTTATGTTTGAAGGGCAATGCCTCCTTAATAATTTATTCTATTTGAAAAGAACATGGATAAATTTTTTGAAAATGTTTTGATGATTATATTAATAAGTTTATTTAAATCAAGAATAGAGAAATTATTTGTTAGAATATTTTTTTCTTTAGATTTTATATTTGGAAAGTATGTTGAATTGTTTTTTCTTAGTTTGTCAAAGCAAAAGATATTATATATTTCTTTCTCTTTAATCATATTTTGTTTCTGGGAATTCAAATTTCTTGATAAATTGTAATAAGCAGATCATTTTGTAATTTGCTAAATATTTTTAAGTCTGTGGTAGATGACTTGAGATTTTTAAAGCAGGAATTGATATTTAGGAGTTCAAGAGCTAGGTTTATACAAGAGAGAGGAGAATTGACAGGTTGTTAAAAAGTTTTTGGATCAAAGTTTTTATTATTTTTGAAAGTAAGTGTGGTTTGAGCAAGAGTATTGCTAAAAATTTTGAGTTATTGCTGGGTGGCTTTTTTTACAAAGCCAGATATGGTGTATTATTTTGAAAGACATATTGCAGCATGAATAGAGATCATTAGTATATAAGTGTAGGAGGATGAAGTATAAGTAAGTTTTGTTAGAAATATGTTAGAAAGAATTTTGAGACAGAAATTATAAAATTTGAATTGTATATATATAATTGAAAGTGACAGGTTTTTAAGGAATATTAGAATTTGAAAAAGAAATGAGAAATCTGATTTGAAAATAGTTTTTGCTCTTTTTGAATAGATTATATCAACTAGTTAGATTGTTTATTTATTTTTTTGATATAATTGTGAATTAGAGGGAGTGAATTATTTTGAAGGTTTAAAAGGGTATAAAGTAAAGGGAAGAAGTTGATAATGTTGAGCTGTGGAATGATTGTATTATGTGATTATATGTTTATTATTGTTGAAGTGGATTATAAAAAGTGTAGAATATTTGTAACATTTGAATAATATTGTGAATGTTGCTAATGGCTGAGGCAAATAGAAGTTTGGATTTTTTCTAATGGTTGGTTAGTAGTAGTAATAAAAGTTTATTAGAGATTTTAAAATGTTTGCAAAAGAAAGTTATTTGTTTTGTATTATTGATAAGAAGAATGAGAATTAGAGAATAGAGAAGGGATGAGTAAGGGGTCGAATTATTTTTTATAATTTTACAAATTTTATTATATACAGTATATAGTTTTTTAAATTTTATTGAATGTAATAAAAAATTGTACAAAAATTACATCACTTATATATACACCCCTACTATAATTTACTGAAAAAAATCATTATATAATTTTTTACTATTTTTTTTTATATTTTTATAATGACGTGTAAAGAAAAATTTTTTTATTAAAAAATAAAAAATTTTTTTTTAAAATAAAATTTAAATTCTCTAATTTTAATAACTAAAATTTTATAATTATAATTTAATATTTCGTGTGTTTACCTTTAACTCTAATAATTTCTTTTGTATGATCGAACATGCTCAAAATTAAGTGATGAATCTTATTCAAGCTAATATTTATTCATTTGTTTTGTGCCACTTCCACTAACTCTAATTTGAATTTAGGTAGAGGATTCTTCTTGCGTATTTGACAATCCAAATAATCCTATAGATTTTCAATTGGATTAAGATCAGGGCTTTGCGCTATCCAATTTAAAATTCAAAGATTGTGAGTCACTGCCTACCAAGTTATATATGAAGATATGTGACACATTGCGCCATCTTGTTGAAATATAACATTTAAGTTCTTGCGAATCCAAGGTATAAGATAAGTGGTAAGAATATTAATGTATATATCAGAATTTATGTTTTCCATTATTTCTACTAAAGGGCCAATTCAGTTCCAACTGAAGCAGCCCCAAAACATCATAGATCCTCTGTCAAATTTAGTTGTAGGTATAATGCAATCTTCATTATATGCTTTGCCAGTCTCTTGCCATACTCTAACTTGACTATCTGAATTAAAAAACACGAATCTAGACTCATCAAACTATATGATATTTTTTCACTTTTCATTCCAGTTTTTTTTTCTCTACATCACTTTAATCATGCAATTTGCTGTTTTTTTATTAAAAGAAACTTCCTATGTGATACTAAGCTTTTAAAACCTATATTATGAATGTATCTACAAACTGTATTAATATGAAAAGTGATATCTAATCTTGTATTTAGTCTACTTGCAATGTTGCCAAGAGGAGCAAAATGATTTTCATGAACAATATGTTTTAAAACATGTTTGTCATGTTCAGAAAGTTTTTTTGATCATCCTGACCATTTTTTTGGCTGCACAGTACTCTTTTCATCATAATGCTTAATAGTGTCATAGACGGTTGTAATAGAAATGTCCAACTCGGATGAAATAATTCTGAGTTTGACACCATTTAAGTGAGCTCCAATGATATATTTACGCTGTGCAACTGTTAATGCTTTTCCCTGCATGTTTATTTTTAAAAAGAGTGATCAAGACCTAATTTAGCAAATATAAAAAAATTGGATGCTTATAATAAAAAAGATAGTGACACATACTTACATAATGCGAAAAAAAAAATTTTTTTTTTGTGAAAATCAAATTTTTCGGTAATTATGATAGGGGTGTGTATAATAATATGGTATAACACTTAACATTATCATTTTCATACTATTTTATAATACATGATCAGATTTTATATTTTGCAAATCTTTTCTGTTGCATCTTAACTCTGTTTTTTACAATATCTAACCTTTCAACTAAGTAAAAATGTCTAGCGGATTATCTGGAAAATTTTTAATTTTCTTATTACATCTCCGTTGGAACATTTTCTGTCGTCTATCAAGCTATAGAGCAAGATCCATAGATAGAAAAGGATAATTTAAGAAGTATAGTAAATGATGCTATTTCATTAGCAAAAAATGAATGTCCCTTGAAAAACCTAGAAGAAGAAAAAGAAATAAATAGTTTTAACTTGATTGTATCCTTGAGAGTTCTGCTAATTTTCTATGTTCCGCATACTTAATCACGTTTACTTTGCATATGTATTTCGTGAATTTATTTATTGTATTGATACCGATATACTGTATATTAATTTGCATATATTTCTTTTAAGCGATTTACCACAAGACCAAAAGTACACATTACTGTTTTCTTTTATAAATTAGCTTTTAAATACATTCACTTCTTGTATAAAGCAATGGCAAACAATCAATTTGCAATCAATTCCTTGAAATTATTGGAAGAACATGAAATCAGAATCACGAATCTAGAACAGATCGCTCGTGAACAAGCTGAACTTGGAGTTAGAATTGCGAAATTGGAACCGAATACTGTAAATGTATTCAGATAGCTATGGAAATTCTTGGTGAGGGACCAATAATTGAGTATCGCCCTCCTTTTTTGAATGGGTTAGAACTTGACGCCTTTTTTAAAAAACATCGAATCGCATTAGAAGTTCAAGGAGCTCAACATCGGCTTCATAATACTGGCTGGTATAAAGACGTTAAAAAGCTCGAAGAAATTGTTAATCGCGATCGTCTAAAAAGATGCATGTGTCAAGATAACGGAATTTTCCTACTCGAGGTATGGTATTATGAAAAGCCAGAAATCGTCATTCCGGGAAGAATACAAAAATAAAGTGTTTCGTTAATCAGGTATCCAAAATTTTCAATCTATAAGTCAATTCATAATATATAAAACTTAATATCTAAATCGCAGACAAGTGTTTAATAATAGACCTCAAAATTTTTTCGTTACTTCATATAATACGAAGGACCCGAAGCCTTCACAAAGTAGTCTGAATTTCGATTTTTTCGTCCACATATTTAGCAATTAAAATTGGTAATTATTTTTTTAACTCGGTATGGTAAAGCTTTATTGATTTGCATTACAATTGTCACATTCCATAATACTTCATATAAAAAAGTGTAAAACATCAGGATCATGACGCGTCATAAAGTCAATATAATAACCACTATTCTCGATTTCGAATAATAGAATAAAAGATAAAAAGATTATGCATTATCTTGTCCACTTAAAACTAGTTGTTGAACTTGAAACAGATCGATAATAAAATTGACAGGCGCAGTTTCAGTTGCAAGAGTAGGAACAGCTGGTACGTACTCAACTGCAGGTGGAAGTGGAAGTACTGGATCCCAAAAGACTTGTGCAATTGGGATAATGACTTGATATTGAGGGAGGTTGGGTGCATTACAGGTAGTAGGAGTTTGTTTTTTTCGAATAAGGGTTCCAAACTGCCACTAAAGGTATTTAAAAGTTTTTAGATTATTTAACTATTAAAATATAAATTACAGGCTTGCTTCATACCTCCTGGTACCCCGCTCCCTGTTGCCACAATCTAGCTGTCATAGATCTATGATATTGCCCAAGATCATTTTTTCTATTTCTTTTTTTGTGTAATTTAATTCCAAGTACATATCGTACGTAAATTTGATTCATCCATAGTTGGCACTTGTCATTCAATTCTTTAGTGGATTGAATGTTTCCTACTTCACAAACGATTCGCGCATGTGGCCAACCCTATGTTGAAATATTAACTTTAGAAAATCAAAACCACAAATATGTTCCTGCATAAAAAAAAAAAAATACATTTCTGTTTCCTGGAGGAGGGCCTGGGTATGGAATACGAGGCTGTTGGACATGACTCGGATTTGGATATACCGTAACATCCGATGCAATTAATTGGTCGTTTCCAGATGGACTAAAATGAACTGAGGAAAGGTATTAATTTCGAAGGACAATTATGGATCAAAAGGTCAAACAAGTTAAAAGAATTCACTTACATTCATCAATACCAACGACTATTGGAGGATTAATAATGACACCGCCATTGGCAACCTTAAAATAGTCTTGCAACAATGAAACAACTAACCCATGTTCGGGATTGTTCATGTCAATTATAAATACGTCGCCGTTATCTCTTCGTTGATATTTATATCCAGAAGACTCTCGACGTTCAAGGAATTTATTGTATTCTTTTATCGTTATATTTGAGCCTATTTTATAAGGTAAACTAAAAATTCATACAAGTAAACACTAGCAGATATTGAAGTATTCTAAGTGTTTTACATTTGATGCTCACTTACCTGTCCTCGTTTAACAACTGATCCGGAAAATGAGGACTGCTTGGAAGTAATTTGTTTAGAACTTTCTTCATTGCTGGAGTGAAGATTTTTGAAATCAACAAGTTAATTATTATGGGGATTAATTACGACGTAAATATGAAAATTCTCACAATCAGGTGAAAAATTTGCGGAGTTAATTATTTGCTTTGTACGCACAATTTATCGAGTCACCTGAGAAGAGTTTTTCAAAAATTCCATACTCTATATCATTTTCTATAGAATAAACCAATTTCCAAATATTATTGAGGTGTGTTTTGATTGAGAGATTCATCTATCACCTAAATCTACTTTAGGGTATTTTCTTATTCTTGGTAGCTCCGCTATTTTTAAAAATATCATTTAATCTTCTGAGTGTTGGAGGTACAGGAGGCATGTTGCGAAATATTCCATCTTTGACACCTGCAAGACTTTTCTTAATCACATTCGTGATCTCCTCTATTGATAAATCGTCCTAGGAGGGTCATTTTTATCAGCGCTGTATTTATTACTATTTTCTTCGATTAATGAGATACTCATACCATCTATTACAATTTTAGCGTGATGGGCATAGGTTTTGGGAGAACGTTCAAAGCTTATTTTTGCTTTACGCATCCATAACCTTTCTTATTCTAATACTAGATCGAACGATGGATTTTTGTGAATTTGAAAGTCTATTAATTTAGTATCATTTAAACTTGCCACTTTCCTTTATAGTGAAATTGCAAATCTAAGCATTTTATTTCTTCACCGATCATCACCAGATAAACATTCCAACGCATAATCTTCTTCAAGCTTATCGAACAAGCTCTTGCTAATGGTATTGAACTTCGACGATGTATCTATTAACGCTTTAACTGGAATTTTTCCTTCTACGAGTACGAGTGTTTCTATGAAAACCATGTTAAATATTATTTATTGATGTATTGTATATTATAACTGAAAAAACTACTCGATAAATAAATTTTATGGAAAAATTTAAAGACTACAAACTAATTAACAGACTAGTAATAACTTTTTCTATATAGTTTATTAATATAATTAGAAGAGTAAAAAAATTTATTATAAAAGTCAAAGATAATAAACATAATATTTAAGACTTTTTAAGTAAGAATTAATATTTAATGGTTATAAAATATCAATCTATTTTTATTAGAAAAGTAAAAAGATATTCCTTTTATAATAACTTATTACAGTATAGCCTTTTGTTTTTTTAATAAGTATACTGTAATAGATAAAAATACTATAGAAATATATGTTTATACATAAAGACTTATACTTCTGAAATCCATATAATAGCTAAAAATAACTAATAAATAAATAAAATAAGTAAAAAAAAAATTTTTTATAATCCTAATTAATATAATAAATTCCTTTATATTCAAATATAGTAATAATAATTTATACAATAGAAAAATTATAAATAACCCTAGATAATCTAATTAATAATATTGTATAACCTTTGTATAATATTCCTATATTTCCACTTGTATTACTTATTGTATTTTCTTTAATCAATGTAATTAATATTGTTTTATTTATATAATATAAATTTAAATGTATTGAATAATACAAATTTTATAAACAATATATATATATTAGTTTTTTAAAAAAAAATTATTAATTTAACAAGTAATTTAATATTAAGTTTTATTTAAAAAAATTGTTATTAGCAATATATATTTTTTGTAAATTAAATATAAATTTAATTATATAATATTTAATATTAAAATCATTAAATTATTTAATTTGTAAAATTCTATTTTATCAATATCTGTATCTGATAAAAATTATTATAAAATAAAAATAAAAATTTGATTTGTAAAAAAACAATTAGAGATCCAAAAAAAAAGTTCTTTTTTCAAGAATCAATCTATTAATTATGAATTTATTCTTCTTAATATTCTCATTATCAATATTATATTTAATAAGTATTATATATATATTGTAATCAAAATCTATTTGATCCGTATCCGAGTAGTAATTTTTAGAAGGAATTAGAGATTATATAGAATAGTCCGTCATCCTAGAGATAATCTCTCACAAATATTCCAAGGTACAGCAAAGATTCTCCAATGAATTTTTGTAACCAAAATGTGTTTAATAAAATAACAGTGTTTTATTAAGACACGAAACCAAAAAGTCAGACAATTACAAGA